TCAAAAGTATCAGTGCATGTATGCAAGAATGTGAGTTGCACTACTATCTTTGCTTAGACATCATCCAGACCAGTGTTAGACTAGTAACTGTCTAAGCATGCAATTTAGCAGAATAAATTATTGACACTTCTGTTTTCTGATGAACTTGATTTAACAGCACTGGGCTGTGTGCACTTTCTCACTTCAGTTTTAAGTTCAAAGTAGACAGAGTCTAGGCAGCACCCAGGTCTGCCCATAACTAGACATCTCTGGGCGCAGGGTCCCTGAATGGCATAATAATGAGCTTTCATGTTTAGAGAAGAAGGCACAGAAGAACACATTGGGTCATCCAGCAGATTTTTTAGGACTTTTTGCCCCTTGGGACTCTTCACTACCATCCACGGGACTGCTTGAATAAAGGATAATGATTCTGGGAAAGGTCAGACAGATTCTCAACTAGGTGATGGCACAGAATCTGCGAACAGACAAATAATACACACCTATATCCATTTCAGAAATAAAAGATTTATAATTTTAAAATCATTTTATATTCCATCTGACAGAACTGCAAACGACATTAATATTGAATAATTTTGTGGCATTTATATAGAAAATATCTTTTCAAAAGAGATGATTTGAGCTGTATTCCTGATGTTACATAAACGAAACTAGAATTTGACCCTTGGTATTTCCTGCTCTGAATTTTTAATGAATTGCAATCCACAGGTTTCTATAGAGATGCTCCTCAAGCATCCTAAACATGGGACAAGATAGTGCTACGTGGGACAGAGGAGACCAAGTTAGGAATCAGGGTTTCAGTGGACCCACAAATGCTGTAATCTAAGTCACTTGGCTTGGGCTTCCATGTAAGGATTTGAGTGAAGAACCAGTTCAGCTGCTTAAATGAAAAAATGGGGATCTCATCTTACAATCTTACTTTACACATAAAGAAATTGAGGAACAGAGCAATTAAATAGCTTGCCCATGGTCATCTGGCATAGAGTGGCCAATCACACTTTGGTTTCATCTCAAGTCTCCCACCCTCAATTACAGCAGTTTGGATCCCTGTATTTTGATGTCTACCTCAAATATAACTTACAGATAAGAATTGGGGAATGGTCTATAAGATGGGCATTCAGTAAAATAGTACTTGATAAGTTCCCCTGAATATGATCACTTACATACAGTACAGCACACTCAAAATGATATTCACAAGTAGAAAAGAGATTCTACTTGTGAATATCTAGTAATTATTATCAACTTTAAATAATTTATTCCACTGTATTATGACAATCCTACCCAAAGCCATAGAAGGGAGCATGTTATTCTTCATCCTCTGTATTAAATCGTTTCAGTCATGACCAACGTGACCCTATGGACTGTGGCCCGCCAGGCTCCTCTGTCCATGGAATTCTCCAGTCTAGAATACTGGAGTGGGTGGCCATTCCCTTTTCCAGGGGACCTTCCTGACCCAGGGATCGAACCTGTGTCTCTTGCATCTCCTACACTGGCAGGCGGTTTCTACCCCCAAGCAATTAATGAAGGAAAGCTATGCCAAACTTAGTGTACTGAAAAGCAGAGGCATCACTTTTCCTACAAAGGTCTGTATAGCCAAAGCTTTGGTTTTTACAGTGGTCATGTACAGATGTGAGAGTTGGACCATAAAGAAGGCTTAATGCCAACAAATTGATGCTTTCAAACTGGGGTGCTGGAGAAGACTCTTGAGAGTCCCTTGGACTACAAGGAGATCAAACCAGTCAATCCCAAAGGAAATCCACTCTGAATATTCATTGGAAGGACAGGTTGAAGCTCCAGAACTTTGGCCACCTGATGTGAAGAGCCGACTCATTGGAAAAGACCTGATGCTATGAAAGACTGAAGGTAATAGGAGAAAGGGGTAGCAGAGGATGAGATAGTTTGATAGCATCATGGATTCAATGCATATGAATCTGAGCAAACTCCAGGAGATAGTGGAGGACAGAGGAGCCTGGCGTGCTGCAGTCCATGGGTTGCTAAGAGTCACTAATGACTTAGCAACTAAACAACACAACTTGCTCAGAGACATAAAATTCCACAGGAAAAATAAATCACTTGTTTAGGCTTGTGTGTTTTGTTTACATTGGGAAAAAACATGTGACATTAATGACTATTCAAGCTTCTTAGCCACCAGGACCTCAGTGTGAATCAGTTTGTTCATCCTGATTTACAGTGGATCATCCTAGGTATTTGGTATAAGTGAATGGAAATCCTGAAGAATGAAAAAAATTTGTAAGATTTGCCTTTTTCCATTTTGAGGGAAAGTCTTATTCCTTTATTTTATTAACACTATTCTTAACATTTTCTTAGCTAAGCAATTAATACTTTTAAAAAATTAAATGCTTACTCAAATGGGGTGAAATACTAATAAAACTAAAACCATCAGAATGGTACTGCAACCACAACCAAGCTATCGAGGGAAAATCTGAAACCATAACAAAGTATGATTTTTACTATTATCCTTACAAGACTGACAAAAATACTGTGTGTCCCTCCAACCTGTTGCAATTTTTGTTTTCCTTGGGCAAGGGCATTCTGAAGTAGGGAATATTTGTTTACAAGCTACAAAGCACAATCTGTTTATCAATGTCAGATCAACTCTAGTATAGATTTCTTACTGAAATCAAAACTGCTCAAATAGTATGTTTTAGGTATTTGAATAATAAAGTCTTGTTACAATAGGATCTACTTAATAAGCTAAGAATTTTCTTCCAAAGATAAGACTGAGTGAAATACATATTGACACAATCTATTTGATTTTAACAGAATTGTTATGAATCGGTTTATTATTGTTGTTTAGTCTCTAAGTCATGTCTGATTCTTTTGTGACCTCATTTACTATAGCCCAATAGGCTCCTCTGTCCATGGGATTTCCCAGACAAAATTACTGGAGTGGATTGCTATTTGCTTCTCCAGGGGATCTTCCCAACCCAGGGATCCAACCCACATCTCCTGTATAGGCAGCCAGATTCTTTACCACTGAGTCACCAGGGAAGCCCTATGAATCAGCTCCCTACAGCAAAAGGAAAACTATTGCTCTTAAATATGTTAAAAATATACATATTTGAGGCTAGTAAGAAAGCAATACCTATTACAGAATCTAGATATACTCTACCTTACATATTTTCTTCAAGTTCTGTTCACCTTTAGATGATATAAAAATCAGTTATTAAAAAGAAAATATTCTGTAAAATATTTCAACATTTTCAACACAGTTGATACAAAAGAATTCAAGCATGAACTCAATATCCATGAAAAAGGAATTTTCTTTTAACAGTGATTATAATTTTGGTGGTATTAGAGAGTAGTGTAGTGTTAATTTTCTGACAATGTATTTCCCTAATTTACTCGTGTTTTTTTGTTTTAATAAATAGGTTACCACTGATTAGAAGAACTGACTCCTTCTAAGACTCATCAGATCATTTCCTGTAAAAACTGTATCTTTCTAATTGTGAAAAAGGTAAAGAAAACATCTGTTACCATTCTGTTTAGCATTTAGATGGAATACACCCCAGTCAACCCACATTCAATCTGCAGGAGAACACCAGGTTCAGCTCAGTTCAGTCGCTCAGTCGTGTCCAGCTCTTTGTGACCCCATGAATGCCAGGCATGCCAGGCGTCTCTGTCCATCACCAACTCCCGGAGTCCACCCAAACTCATGTCCATTGAATCAGTGATACCATCCAACCATGTCATCCTCTGTCATCCCCTTCTCCTCCTGTCCTCAATCTTTCCCAGCATCAGGGTCTTTTCCAATGAGTCAGCTCTTCGCATCAGGTGGCCAAAGTATTGGAGTTTCAGCTTCAGAATCAGTCCTTCCAATGAACACCCAGGACTGATCTCCTCCTTTAGGATGGACTGGTTGGATCTCCTTGCACTCCAAGGGACTCTCAAGAGTCTTCTCCAACACCACAGTTCAAAAGCATCAATTCTTCTGTGCTCAGCTTTCTTTATAGTCCAACTCTCACATCCATACAGGACTACTGGAAAAACCATAGCCTTGACTAGACAGACCTTTGTTGGCAAAGTAATGTCTGCTTTTTAATATGCTGTCTGTCTAGGTTGGTCATAACTTTCCTTCCAAGAAGTAAGCATCTTTTAATTTCATGGCTGCAGTCACCATCCACAGTGATTTTGGAGCCCCCCAAAATAAAGTCAGCCACTGTTACCACTGTTTCCCTATCTATTTGCCATGAAGTGATGGGACCAGATGCCATGATCTTAGATTTCTGAATGTTGAGCTCTAAGCCAACTTTTTCACTCTCTTCTTTCATCATCAAAAGGCTCTTTAGTTCTTCTTCATTTTCTGCCATAAGGGTGGTGTCATCCGCATATCTGAGGTTATTGATATTTCTCCCGGCAATCTTGATTCCAGCTTGTGCTTCTTCCAGCCCAGCGTTTCTCATGATGTCCTCTGCATATAAGTTAAATAAGCAGGGTGACAATATACAGCCTTGCCGTACTCCTTTTCCTATTTGGAACCAGTCTGTTGTCCCCCAGGTAGTATTGCGCAAATGGCTGTGTTTAGGTGGAAAATCCAGATAGAGAGCAAAAATGTCCGTAAGTGTCCCAGGCTGACAGAAAGTAGGCAGAGGGCAAGAATACGTAAACATATTCTCCATAGATAAGATTTCAGTATGTTAATCATCCACAGGAAAAAAAAATTTAAAGGGGAGAATTTTGAAGAAATGCTCTATGTGATGATATTTATTATTTCTACCACTGGTAGGTAGGTCACATTAAAAAAAAAATTACAAGACCTAGAAAGTTTTATTCAAAAAAAAAAATCTGTCTATAACTGGCAAGATGATTTGTTTCAGTTGCGTGTTTTCCTTGTACTTTGATCTTTTTGTACTGATATTTATGCTTCTGTTTTATGATCTCCTCCTAATGATAGAACCAGACCTCGTGACAACCACCTTCATCAGACCCGGGAGTTTGAAAGAAGCAGGTGCTGTACTTCAGTTTTTCCTTGAACAAGAAACATGGGCTGCAATCGAAACTGTGGGCTCGTTGCTGGTGCTGTCATTGGTGCAGTCCTGGCTGTGTTTGGAGGGATTCTAATGCCAGTTGGAGACATGCTTATTCAGAAGACAATTAAAAAGGTAAAAGTGGTATCAAGAATATTTCTTTTCATCCTGATTCAGTCTACCTTGACTTATTTTTGGCTTAGGGTTCCTGTTTTATATTTCATTATAACTGGCAATTATGTGTCTAACACAAAGGTGATTTTGAACAACAGAAACTCTACATGATAAAGAAATAATCAAAGTATGATGTATACTCTATATGAATGCACTGTCATCTTAAGCCTAAATATTTAATTTCTGATAAAAACTATTCTAAGTATGTAGTATATATATATGTATGTGTGTGTGTATATATATATATATATATATATATATATGTATATGTATACAAACAAGTTCACGATAGATTTAACTAAAAATAAAGTGACTTAATATATAGGCTTTGTACAACAAACTGAAATCTGTCTCTCATCCCAGTTCCTTCTAATTCAGCTTTATACTCACCAACTTTAATTGATAAAGAAAAGGAAGACTAGAATAAGAAGTACATCTGCTGAAGTCCTAAACCAGGGATAGCAAATTCAAATGACTTCAGCGTTTGGAGACAAGCCTTAAAGAAAAGCTACCAAGAACAATATAAAAACAAGACAATGACTACTGTGAAGTTAAAAGTGTGTGCCCTGCTCAGAGGCATGTATGTTTATTTTTAAAATATAATGCTGGCCAAATAAACATATCTGAGTGCTAGCCTCAGCTGTCATCCTGGTTCAGATGCCAGTGGTCTAGATGGCAGTAAGCAGAATGCACAGAGGAGATCAACAAGAACTGAATCATAAATGGGCTAGACTACCAACTCATACTGGAGTTTCTGTTCCTGTCAAGACCTTTATCTGTCTCATCCATTCACCCATGTTTGACATCCTACTCTTACTAGGAGTAAATAATTATAATTAGTTTTCACTAAAGCACTGCCTGACTTAGTATGAAGATTTAACTTCAAATCTAGTTACCCAAGACAAGAAGTTACTATTTTCCAAAGCTTTTTTGGTTTTTGTTCAGCTAAATGCTTAGTCTGTAAATTAAAATTTTTTTCTGGCTGTACTATTATAGCTATTGTCTTAGTACAACAGATTATGAAGTAGGACATTTTTGGTACAGTTTCTATACTTGTATGCTATATTTGCTTAATAATCACACAGGCGTTTCTATCTTTTCTCTTGCTAACTGACAGCAAAAATTTTAACCTCATGCATTTAACTGGAGATATTATACATTAAATACCATCTCCTTCCTTGGAATTCCCCAGTTTTCTTGATATTATTTTAATATAGCTCAATAGAGACGGACAGGAGATGGTGAGGTGTGCGGTGTCTAACATGTTAGACAGAACTGCTATTGTTCTATATCCTTTCTGCTCTGTAAACTCACTTCCCTTCTGTATCTGTGGAGTGAGAACAGGATAAATTTTGACACACAGACTATAATTTTTTTTTAATCTTCAGAAGAGAAAAGCGACAATAATCTTCCGGTGCACAGCATCTTAGACTAAGATTTTCTGTCATACTTGATCATCAGCAGCGAACAATGATCATCTATTGTTTTTTCTTCTTATTCTAATATGTTATACAGAGTCTCTGTTAGACATCATGAGAGGCACTAACATCTATTTTAATTGTTTCATATTTATCTCTAAGTTCATATGGCTAACCTTGAGGAAATAAGAGTTTTCAGACATCAAAAATTTGTATAGTGGCTGAGAGAATAAATATTTATCTTAAGAAATATAAATTTTAATTGGGAAAAAGCATATTGTAAAAATAACTACAGAGACTTGTGAAACTCTGTAATTGAATTCTAAAGCATACACTATTTAGAAAGAGAACTTTCGCAGAGTATTCAGTAACTTCAGGAAGAAGCTGAGACTTGAGTTGGATTTTGAAGTATAAAATTCTGAAGGTCCAAACAGAGTTCCAATAAAAGTGTCAAGGGACTGCTTAATGCCATGGAAAAAAGTTGTGGAAATGCAACTAAATACTGTGATGACAGAAAGAAAAAAAATTTTTTTTTAGAAAAATATTTTTTTAAATGTGTCAAAATAAAGAAATAACAGCAGAGATGATTAGAAAGATAATAACATGGGGTAAAATTTAGGAAACTTTGAGCATCAGGCAGAAGACTATTTAATTAATGACATGACAGGCAACAGTAGTGTATATTTACCTGTAGTTGTTAGATATAACAAAATCTGCATTTGGAGACTGGTATCAAACATACTATATACTAGTAAGTTATATGCCACACATACTAATATATTATACTATATACTAAATAAATAAAGCATTTTTTAGTCCTACTAAGAGCTTCATATATACTAATTCATTTAATCTTCACAAATATCGATGAGAAGGTATTACCATCACAAGACTTAAATCAACCTGACAACTCACCTAGCCAAAAGGTATAGTAGTTTCTAAACCGAGGCAATCTGAAGGCAGAGATGAGATGATTTATACATTTTGCACTCTCTAATTCTACAGCAGAAAGTGTTGGAAAGTGAGGAGACCAAATACAGGAAATGTTATGCAGGACATGACCACTTTCAAGGAGAATTTAACACTCACTTTTAAACAGATCTTTGCACAGTTTGCACATAACAAAAGGCTCTCTGGTCTAGTGTGATGGAGTATGTAGAACTGATGGGTGATGGAATGCAATGGATAGAAGAACTAACTAAATAGGGGGAGAGAGAAGTAAAAATTTCAAACTACAAGATATCCAGTTGTGTTCTTGATAGAAACATGTATACCTTGGAAGAGTAAAGCACAGAGTTTTAAAAGTGATTTGAAAAGAACATCAGTGTATATTTCAAAGGGAAGGTTCAGAGATTTGTTCATTATTATAGAGAATACAGATAAAACTAAACAATAGATATGTTTAAGGAGAGTTTTAATATAGAGACAAAAGAGCAGAGAAATTACTATGGGATTTGTGCATTCAGAGGTAAGTAGGAAGACAACGGAAAACAGAAAAATTATTTTATATGAAGCAATGAAAAAAATAGACTAATTTTTTTAGAAGTTATTATGAAGCCAATTTTTAAGGAAAAAGTAAAATTATCTCAGGCAGATGAAAATTAAGGAAACAGTAGTTAGAACACAGTCACTAATAACTTTAAAATTGTATTTTCAGTAGTGCCGAGTAATAAAGTGGGATAAAATAAAGAAATAGAATGCTTTCCCTTCTTATTTTTGAAATGAGGGTTACCTGCAATCTTTGGGTCACACTGTAACCCAGCTCAATATTCACAGACTAAGACATCATCTCTAAGACATCACTTCTCAGCCTGTTGGTTAAGATCAAGTGGCTCAGATGATAAAGCATCTGCCTGCAATGCAGGAGACACAGGTTCAATCCTGGGTCAGGAAGATCCCCTGGAGAAGGAAATGGCAACCCATTCCAGTACTCTTGCCTGGAAAATCCCATGGTCAGAGGAACTTGATAGGTTACAGTCCATGGGTTGCAAAGAGTCAGACACAACTAAACGACTTCACTTTCATTTTTCAAGACATCATCAGAAGCCCTTCAATGGTCAGGAGCTGCGTAGTATAGTTAAGACAGACTGCTTTTGCTCTCAGATTTTCATATAGCTGTGTTGACCTTGCTTATTTTAATTATGTAAAGATGTTTGGACTTTTTTATTTATTTAAATAAAACTGTTTCTTTTAAATTTAGTTTACAAAATTATTTTAAAAATGAGATTAGCATATGTATCTGTTTGGCATACGTGTAGAGGTCAAATCTTTGAATTATGTGTAAGCACAGAGAGCCAAGTGTCTCGCCCCTGCCTTAAGAGCACTTAGGTTAATACTGCTATTTTACAAATATTTATATATATATATGTTGTACTACCAGTCAGTTTATCTCTACAATTAAAACTCATTGCATGTAACTTGCATTATTTAATGGACTAACAGCAAGTTGGCAAAGTTATTACCTATATATAAGCACCATAAAAAAATTAAAGTGCTTAATTTAAAAAGATAAGAAAACCATCTTATCTTGTTCTCTAGAGTTGGAACTCTGATAATTTCTGGTTCTCAAAGATGACACCTGATACCAGTATCTGAAATGGCATAAAATAGTCAATACATTTTACCATTATATTTCTTTACTCACTGTTTCCAAAGGAAATTTTGTAGGGTTTTTATGCATTACAGGTAATTATGCATTATGTAGGGTTTTATGCATTATAGCTGAATGCTTTTATACCAGTGTTTCAGATCATGATTCCTAGTTGAATTGAGTGGGACCAGCAGATTTATGCAATCTTGCTAGATAGACTAAAAGTCAATGGCATGAGCTGCCACTAATGTGGAAAGCAGAAATTATCAAAGGACTTCAGTAAAAGGTCAAAGTTCTGGTACCACTCACAAAGGATAATTTATCACCTGACACTATAAAATATCACTTGATTAATATTGCTAATATTATATAACAGGCAATTTTAAATAGTTTGAATTCACCTATGATATTAACCATGGAATATCAAGACAGACAATCAAGATATCTTTTTCAATTAAAAGACTAATGTTCAATCATACCATCATTCAATTACACCATTTCCTTTCCCAATTCTTGAAAAGAATGATCTTCTTGTAGCCAAAAAAATGCTTCCATATAAAATAAACATAAATGATTATAATTTTGACTTATTAAAATGACTATAATTTCAAAGCAACAGTCAATATTTGATAGCAAACTTTATACACATATATATTAATTTCATGATGTATGCTTAGACTATTTCTAGATATGATAAAATAATTTTTACCTTATTATAGTATCTGAAAGCTCAAAAAAGTGCCAGATGTATATAGGTTGTTAAAGATAGTAGAATTTGCTTTAAATTTAATAATAACATGAGAACATGAAATAATCTAAAATAAATTCTAAATTTAAATAGTAAAACATGGATTAAACATTAATTTGCACATTAACTCCAATAATAAAATCACTTAAAAGTGTTTTAAGAAACAGCAGGTCAGCATGTGTAATTTTCTTCCTCCAGCCCAATTTAATATCAACATAGTACACTTTTCATGCCAAATAAAAATTCTCCCATTTTAGGTAATTACATAAACACTTGGAGGCTGATTTCTTGAGTTTCTGAAACATATTATATCTAATCAATTCCACCAATTGTTATTCTGAGGTTTAACTGATGACTTGATAACCTGAGACCAAAAGCACTTTTTGACTGTTAGCACAACTAGCACCAATATTCTTTGTTTTGTTTTTTTAATTTGATTTTTATTTATTTTCCATTTATTTTTATTAGTTGGAGGCTAATTACTTTACAATATTGTAGTGGTTTTTGCCATACACTAACATGAATCAGCCATGGATTTACATGTGTTCCCCATCCCGATCCCCCCTCCCACCTCCCTCCCCATCCCATCCCTCTGGGTCTTCCCAGTGCACGAGGCCTGAGCACTTGTCTCATGCATCCAACTTGGGCTGGTGATCTGTTTCACCCTTGATAGTATACTTGTTTCAGTGCTATTCTCTCAGAACATCCCACTCTTGCCTTCTCCCACAGAGTCTAAAGGTCTGTTCTGTACATCTGTGTCTCTTTTTCTGTTTTGCATATGGGTTATTGTTACCATCTTTTTAAATTCCATATATATGCATTAGTATACTGTATTGGTCTTTATCTTTCTGGCTTACTTCACTCTGTATAATGGGCTCCAGTTTCATCCATCTCATTAGAACTGATTCAAATGAGTTCTTTTTAATGTCTGAGTAATATTCCATAGTGTATATGTACCACAGCTTCCTGATCCATTCGTCTGCTGATGGGCATCTAGGTTACTTCTATGTTCTGGCTATTATAAACAGTGCTGCGATGAACATTGGGGTGCACGTGTCTCTTTCAGATCTGGTTTCCTCGGTGTGTATGCCCAGAAGTGGGATTGCTGGGTCATATGGCACCAATATTCTAATCCTCCCTTTCTCTTTTTCTCAGCATGTAAACACATAGGAGAAAATGTTTTGATCATAGGAAGACCTCTTGTAACTGGTTCTAAACAGAACAAACTGGGGTAGTAAGTGAAGAAGATAAAGACTCTTTTCAGTATGTTTCTGCTTTTTTAGGGAAGTTTTGATTTCAGTGGATGGAGAATAAATATAGAAATGATTAAATAGCAGAAGCGTCACAGGATTTTATATGAGTGATTGCCACATGACTGGTTCAGACAGGAATGCTATGAATGAAATAATTAATATAATTATACCATATTCCACATGTATTGACTTTCAGAAATATTAATTTCATACAGTTCAACCTCGTATTATTTCTAATATTATTATTATCCCTGTTTTACAAATAAGGAAGCTGAGGTACAAGAAATCAAATAATCTGCCCAAGTTTAAATGGTTAGCATATGATCAAACTGGGAATCAAACTCATAGCATCTATTTCACTGTTAACCACTTCACTCTGGGCTTCCCAGGAGGCTCAAACAGTAAAGAATCTGCCTGCAATGCATGAGACCCAGGTTCAACCCCTGGATCAGGACGATCCCCTGGAGAAGGGAACAGCAACCCGCTCTTGTATTCTTCCCTGGAGAATTCCATGGACAAAAGATCATGATGGGCAACAATCCATCCAGTCACAAAGAGTGACATGACTGAGCAATTAACACTTTCACTTTTCACTCTAGGCTTTGAGTAAAGAAGCCAATATACTTAGGTTGGTAGTAGGGTAAGGAAATCTGCTCTATGTGATTCCATCTTTCAGTACTCTATAAGAACCTTGAGAAATGGGACAGTATTATATTCTGTATATGTATTCTATATAGTTCATTCACAGGAACATAGTTAGACTAAAGTTGCCCATCATGTGGATGAGTACTGCTTTCCCATAACAGCAATAATCAAGTGACCACAGGACTAGATAGAGGGTATAACAGTCCCAGACATCTGCCTTCAAATTAATGTAGCAAACAGAACTTTCAAAGTAAATGGCTTTCAACTCAGCCAAAGACCCTGCCACACTAGAGTCAACAGGCTGAAATCCAGGGCTAAATGCTTAAAGTCAAGGATAGATACTGATGTAGGTTATCAGCCAAGGGAGAGGATCTTCAATTATATTATTTTTTTTTTACACAGAATTTCACCTTTGTATTTCAAATTTACTGAGAGATGCACAAAATAGGCCAGACAGTCCAAAGTCAATTTAAAATCAAGGCCTTCTAAATTCACAAAGAACATAAGAACTTGAACTCCTTTTTAAGAAGAGGTTATGATATATTTAGTCTTGATAGTCAAAGAGGTCTATACAAATTTCTAGTACCTAGGTAGTCTTAGGATCAGAAGAAATTCATTCCTATTCTGACTGATTCAATATTCTTCTCTGTCTCTGTACAAATTGTGGTTTTATAAAAACCACACAAGATTGGAGTGAAATGCCGGATTCACCATTATCTACTACCAAATTGTTGTGCAACATTGAATCAGACATCTGCTTTTCTAGGACCCACTTCTACTACTAAAGAAAAAGTGGATGGCGTTAGATGACCCTAACTCTAAAGCTAGAAATTCAATGCACTCATTTAAACTCTTCGTGTTTCAACTTCCATATTTAAAAATTATCTCTAGATTGACAAATAAGACAAAATAATTCATGGCCCTTAGAAGAAAGACATGATATAGTTACAATGTTTCTTTATATAAAATGCACAAGCCTTAGAGTCAGGGAGATTTCTGTCCCACCAAGTACATTATTGAAATCAAATATGTGTCTTGAGAGGTAATGATAAACAAGTGATATTATACTAGTCCTTAAGATTCTACTGTGTGAAAGGAATAACGTACATGTGTATATGTTCACGTGTGTTCTCCTCTCATAATTTCTCTTGAAATGGGTCAATGAACATAGCGTGCAGCTTCCATGCAGATTTCAGCTTCAAAACCCTCATCATTCACAGTAAACACCTTTACATTTAGAACAGCCATAATACTTATCTATACAAAATTTTGTCTTGATTTGGGTTTGCTATGGAATTAAGACTTTTGGGGAGTAATAAAACAATCTTCAAGGACAATTGCTTGTTAAAAGTACTAAGGTCTCACACTGCTTTAATAGTTGCCATGTACCCAGTGTAAAAGGATTGTGACAGCACCAGATTTTGTAATGGCATTTTAGTTGATGCCCTGTTCTCTAAGGAATTCCCTTTTTCTCTCCATTAAGCAATAAGTCAAGTGTCCTGAAGATTGCTAATTCACTTTGACTTCTACCAACTAAATGCAGAGGTGACGGCAACAAAAAATATACCAGGGTGTAAAAGAGGACTAGCCTAAGGGTCAGAGATTAGGATCTTCACCGTGGTTCTGCCACAGTCATTTGCCTCAGTGACCCTTGAGCCAGGAACCTGGTTTCTCAGAGTGTCAGCATGCTCTCCTAGAAAATGTGCTAATAATGTTCACTGTCCTTTTCTGATCCATCGTTCTATGAATTGATGCTTCCTGGTGAACTAAACAAACAGGTGAGATTGTTCTTGTGGGTTTTAGGCTTATTTTCTGTGAAATGCTTTCCTTCCTCTTCCTCTAGCAGTAAAAGGGTAAGCTGGAGCTTTCCACCTGAGTATGTATTCCTTCCAAGGTAGTTAATTGGAAACATTGCCTGCCACAAAGTCACCTTTGTCTCCATTAGCTACTAGAGCTCCATAGGCTTCTTGCTCAGAGAGTAAAAGCCTTGGAAGGAACCTGGGAGAGCATCTATGATAACTCCCTCACTTTACAGATAATAAAATTGACCTTAAAGGGTTTGGTGACTCTCTGTCTCAGCTCCTAAACTATTAATAGATACTTAGGTATCCATACTAATAGATACCTAGGTTTCTGCAAATGTACTGAGAGGAAAGCCTCATTGATCAGGGTTTTGAATGGGAGAAATCAAAGTTGTGTTTCTCTTAATAAATGTTAACTGATTTTCCCCTGAAGTATCCAACTTCTGAAGAAAATGAGAAAACTTCTAATTCCACTAGATTTTTTCTGTTTTTCCCTTTTGCCTCTTCAGTCTGACTCATTGAGGGTACATAAGAAATTAATATTCAACCTGATAAGAACTTTTTTGAAATGCTTTAATTAAACTTGCTTAATAAACTGTTACAAACTGTTGCAATATAGAAATAGGGTCACTCTAAAGCTTGCCAATGGTTGGCCTTACAATCACCAGACATGTTTGCAATATTACACATTGATTTTCCTAGCTGACTAAAGAGATTGCTAACCATGATGTGTTGAAAACATTTCTGTTGCAAGCATGTGGCAGGTTGCAATGGTTTTCATGAGCAGGGTACTTAAGCTTGGTCTTTCACAGGCTAACTAAAGATTTTAAACTCCCAACAGGTGCCCATATTGGCTACAAAAAAATAATCCAAACTTATTTTCTTTTTCATAGGAAGTTGTCCTTGAAGAAGGCACAATTGCCTTTAAAAATTGGGTTAAAACAGGCACAGATGTTTACAGACAGTTTTGGATATTTGATGTGCAGAATCCAGATGAAGTGGCACTTAATAGCAGCAAAATTAAAGTTAAGCAAAGAGGTCCTTACACGTACAGGTGAGTCCCCAAAATACGTGGCACTCTTTCCTTGAACACATGTATTTCTGAAAAAGCTTCCACTTGACAAATGTCACTGTATTGAAATGTACTTATTATTTTCTTACCATTAATATAGATGGAAATATTTTGTTTCTGCCTACATAAAACCCTAATCTAAGGATTTAATGATTATTAAAAAACAGGTTTTATTATGAATTTTCCAGCATCAGTTAACTATCCTACATTTAACAAGTCACACATGTTTTACACTTGTGGCATATATGTTTCACAAACTCTGAAATATGCATCTAAATAGAAAAAAATCTATCAAAATTTTTTAAATGAGTATTTTAAAATCTTAAAATTGAAAAGTATAGGTATATGAGTAGTTCTCAAAGTATGGCTCCTGGACCAGCATCATCAACATCACCTCGGAACTAGGCAGAAGTGCAGATTCTCAGGCCCCACCTTAGACCTAGTGGATCAGAGACCCTTGGTTTGAGCCTGGCAATGAGTTTTACAAATATTCTGGGTGACTGCAGTACATAGTCAGTTTTGCTAACCACAGCATTAAACTTCTATGTAAGTAAAATACCTGTTTAGGATTTCTATTCAAACGTTTTCCAGGTCTTAAGAGTGTATTTATGCAGTAGTTTCATTCTTATATTTTCTCCAGTACTAAGACTGAATAAAAAATACCTTTTTCTACAGGTCTTAACAGTTTAACACATTTTGAATAGAATCTAAGATCCATCAGATGTAGGGGGAAATAATTAGCTAGGACTTATCATTTTGTAAATTTAAAAATCAAACTGACACCAGGCAAGTGAAATGGTTTGTCCACGATGACAAAATCCTGGAAACTGGGTAACTCCTAGATATTTGTGTACATTTTCCCCCATCAAAATTATAGATTGAAGTGCTAAAAACACTAACCTTAGCCAAGTATTAGGACATTTATAGAGCCCATATGGGGACAGAATTAAGTCCTGTTGTATCACTTATTATATAAATTTTGATTTTTCAAGGATAATTACAACTAGTTATAGACAATAATCAAGTATTATCAGAAAACTTCATATTTGTAAAGATTTCTAATTCATAGTTTTACGTAGTCTATAATTATGTAATTTCTTTCTTCTCCATGCATTAATTTATTTCTATATTTCTATATCAGCAATTTATGCTCAAATATAATGAAGTAACAATAGTTGGGGGGGGGGTGATGCCTGCTGCTGTAACATAATATATAAGCTGTAGAGTGCCATGGTGCTATCCCATCCTAATAATTATCCCCATCTCCTGTCTTCAGACATATGTCTATTACTCTCCACATCTCGGTCAAAGAAATCTTGGTTTTCATTGTTACAGAAAAAAATCTTACTTTCAGAAATATTTAAAAAAGCTTTTTTTCCAGAGTCTTATACTTCTTATATCACTATCAAAAGCCTGATATAAGATATCTGAATATCTTATTCCAAAAAACATGTACTCTGAAAATCTAGAACTCACGTATGACCTAATATAATCTAAGTATAACTGATTAAACTTCTGTCATAGCTCAGTTGTTAAAGATTGACAACTGCAGTGCCAGAGTTCGCCTGCAGTGCAGGAGACCCGGGTTCTATTCCTGAGTTGGGAAGATCCCCTGGAGAAGGAAATAGCAACCCACTCCAGTATTCTTGCCTGGGAAATCCCATGGACAGAGGAGCCTGGCAGGCTACAGTCCATGAGGTCTCAAGAGCTGGACATGACTTAGCAACTAAACCACCAAACCATAACTGATTAAAAATCATACCCTGAGAGAACTGAATACATGTATTAAGAGAAAATAGGTGGTATTTGAGATCTAGCTCATCATAGGTTTTGCTTAATTTTTTTGCTTGTTTGGCAGGGCGGTGGTGGGGGGGGGGTATGTTTTTACTTTTAAGGGTGAGTGAAGTCGCTCAGTCATGTCCGACTCTTTCCGACCCCATGGACTGTAGCCTACCAGGCTCCTCTAGCCATGGGATTTTCCAGGCAAGAATACTGGAGTGGGTTGCCATTTCCTTCTCCAGGGGATCTTCCCAACCCAGGGATCGAACCCTGGTCTCCCGCATTGCAGGCAGACGCTTTACCCTCTGAGCCATCAGGGAGATCCCTCTTTTAAGGGTATTCATCGTGGAATGTAAAAAACAAACATAATATAGAATCCTGTCCCAGTCCTGCTCTGATAGGTGATAAGATACATATCTTATTTTTGAAGGCTGAAACCTTCATTCTCTAAAGGATAAAAATGGAGTGGATTAGATATAATTCATTTACTTGGAGAAGCAATGAGGTAGGGGTTGGAGAAGTTGGATTTTCAGCTAAAGTATGTAAACAAACTCAAATTTATATAACAATTCTAAAGGAATCTCATGATGTCTTATGTTGACAAAGGAATCCTTACTGTCTACCTAGATGCCTTAAATAATGGGAAAACAATGGTTACCTTTCAGAAAAAGTAAATTGTTTGAGAGTCTTCCATGTGTTGAGGTGAATTTACTTCCTATCAACTACACCCTGAATTCAGTTGAAATTGGAAGTGAAGGAGGATGTCCCTCCTCAACAGAACCACACGGGCTTATTTGCCTTTTAGCTGCTGAAGTGAGCTTGATGAAACTTTGACAGGATGTGACATGGGTCAGAGCATGAAACTTCCTGGATAGAGATGTTAATTATGTATACCATCTCTATGAAGACCTGGTAACTCCTTCAGAATAGTCTCAGATCAAACATAAATTTTTTAATTACTTTGCTTTGGCTGAAGTACATGGAAAGCAATATGAAGCAATTTCCTCCCTTTGACCTTATTAACCAACACTCTGTAAAACCTGTATACATTCTAATTTTTAAACAAAAACTTGAGTACTTATAATCTCTTTTTAAAAGTACATTCTAAACACAGACCTCAGTTTGAAGGATTTTTTTCTGTTAGTGAGTGCCATCTGCTGGTATAATGTAAGTACAACTAAGTGAACTACAATTTGGGTCACAATTATGGCTCAGCTGGTAAAGAATGCGCCTGCAATGTGGGAGACCTGGGTTCGATCCCTGGGTTGGGAAGATCCCCTGGAGAAGGGAAAGGCTACCCACTCCAGTATTCTGGCCTGCAGAATTCCATAGACAGTATAGTCACAAAAAGTCAGACATGACTGAGTGACTTTCAGTTACTTACACTTACTTATATTGATATTATTTCAAACATATAAAATAAATGTTCCTGAAAATTATGTTAATTTTAAATATGAATATGTAATATAATTTTAACATGTAATTATCTAATATAAAAGAGTAACTGACTAGTAATAGATTCTCCAGGATGATGTCTCAGATATTTATATTCTTTGTACATCTACAGTACTCCAAGGAGAATAAATAATAAAAAGCTTGATGAAATTGTATTAGAAATAATATATATTTCCATATTTTTGTGAATTCTCTTTTTAAAGAGTGTAAAAAATAATTTCTTCATTCAAAAACATTTACCAAGAACTTACCCATGTACCAGACACTGCTTGGGGATACAAAATACTCATAATACCTATGGCAAAGTAATTTATATTTTTATTATATTTGATTGAAATCAGGTCAGGTTTTTCTGGTTGGTTTTGTTTTTTCCATTTCAGTCCCACAGTTTTTCAGTCTTTATCTTAGATAACAACAGATAACATTTAGAAGCTCACATGATAGAGACATTCAGATATATGATAGAGCAGTGAATAATGTACACCTTATTCCATCTCAGTAAATATCCTGTATGTACAGAAGATTTTTTTCCCATGATATTACTCTTCACCACATTCCTAAAAAGTAGTTGGTACTCTGCCTAGAGATTAGAGCCAGGCACTTAGAACTAGTAACTATTCCATACATGGGGTAGGGTTGGAGAGGAGTTGATCTGTGATGGTGAAATACATTGTTAGTTATCTTTAATTCTCATTAAAATAATGAAAATTATAATCAAGCCAATGATGGAAAGGCTATCTACTTTGAACAGTCCTTCTAATATAAGAAAAGGGGCTTATAATATTCCCCGGCTTCAACTTCTGTGTTTCCCCCTCACCCTCAAGATAGAAGGTGAACACCTAAATGTAGAATGCAACCCTTTAGTCCTTGAGATCTTGCTCATTTCAGTGGCTTTGTTTTCTACCACTCCCCTTACTCGGACACTGTAAACCAACCATATGGAAGCATGTTATTTCTAAAAGTACACCATGTTCTTACTTATCCTATATGTTCTACCATATTTTACCAAAGTGAAGTTCTATCTGTCACTCAAACCACTTATATGGAATTGTATCCTGTCCATTATCCCCACCATATCCCAAGCCTGGGTTTTTACCTCTTCTATCTTCTCACAGAATCTGTGTAACCTCCTATAATAACATGTATTTCTTCTCCCCTGGTATGTTCATCTAATACCTTCCTTCTCTAATTTGCTAGAGACTCAGTATCAGCTTGCTTATCCTTTTGGTCTACTTGTTTAGCATAATTTCTGACACAGTCTATGTACTTAAAATTATTTGTTGCATGAAAGAATGACATTCATTTGAAACAACTGTTTTGAGTTTTAGTTACTCTTGTGTTTCAGAGTTCGTTATCTAGCCAAGGAAAATATAACCCAGGACTCTGAGACCCACACGGTCTCTTTCCTACAGCCCAATGGTGCCATCTTTGAACCCTCGTTATCAGTTGGAACTGAGGATGACATGTTCACCATTCTCAACCTGGCTGTAGCTGTGAGTAGACAAACAGCAAAATTACTCTAGAATCCAACTGTAAATAATCTCATGATTAAAACTACCATTAGATATCTTTTTTTTCACTTTTATAAAAATGCTTTCTTATGCTATTATTTTTAATTATGATCATTTGGAAAGATGACAAGATCATAGAATAATCAACTGAAGACTGATTAGAAGACCACTTAGAGTGTATCATTTTAAAAAGTAGGATTTATGGGGCTTCCCCGGTGGCTCAGTGATAAAGAATTTGCCTGACAATCAATGCAGGAGACATGAGTTCAATCCCCGGTCCAGGAAGGTCCCACATGCCTCAGAGCAGCTCAGCCTGTGCTGTTGAGCATGTGTCCGAGAGGCAGGGGGCCACACCTGCTGAGCCCACACGCCCCGACTTCTGAAGTCTGTGCACCCCGGAGCCCGTGCTCTGCACCAGGAGAAGCCAGCACAGTGAGAAGCCCACGCGCCACAGTTAGAGCCTGGCCCAGCTCAGGGCAGCCAGAGAGAAGCCTGTGAGCAGCGAAGACTCAGCACAGCCAAAATCAATAACCAATGAGAGAAACAGATAAAATGTGTCCAAAAGTAGGATTAACTTTGAAACTCTTCTTCCTGTGGCCCACACAACCACAGAGAAATGTAATCATGAAGAGATGAAGAAATAATATACTTTTAGCCCTGGCTAGATTTGGCAGTCATTTTAAAGATAGCTGGAACTTGTTTTATTCAGTTTAATTCTTATATTTATATTTATTTGTTAAGAAAGTGATGCTGCAGTCGGTGTCTTAAACCCTGATTTTTTTTTTTTTTTGCAGGCTGCACCACATCTCTATCCAAATTCATTTGTTCAAGGAATACTCAACTCACTTATCAAAAAGTCAAAATCTTCTATGTTTCAAAACAGAACTTTGAAAGAACTATTGTGGGGCTATACAGATCCATTCTTGAATTTGGTTCCATATCCTGTTGTTACTACAGTTGGTGTGTTTTATCCTGTGAGTAACAATTATAAATGTTGATGCTGTTAAACAACTGGATAAATATAATCACATTGGCAATTCATAAGTTTATCATTCAGTATGTTAACCCTATTTCTGATCTCGGAATACATACTCTTAAGTTTTTAAAAGTCTCTACCTCACATGGATTTAGCTTTCCTAGTTGGGAAAATTTAACTTATCTGAATTTAACAATTAAGTTTAAGATTAAGAAGTGGCCATTTAATTAAGTTTCCACTCCTAGATAAATGTGCAATTGTCTAAAATTAGGTTATAAGGTGCTAAGAGTTTGAACACTGTTTTTGGTTTTGGTTTCCTGTCTAAAAAAACAAGTTTAAGCTGTGTTTTATTTTTGTTAATTGTATTCATCATATCATTCTTAAAAATTTATTTCAACATAAATTTAAAAGTCACCTTAAATTGTACACAAGATTGATACATCAGCATGTTTTATTCTCTCAGATTTAGTTGGTAAGAACATCTGTAAGTGAGTGCCCTGCTCAGAGCTGATAACTTCTAGCAATCTACAAACTATGAAATGGCAGTTTGGATATAAAAAGTGAATTTGGTGATGTACTTAGTTATAGCAGAATGTTCCAAATTACAAATAGGACAAGGTGACTATTGCATTGAAAATTTTACTGTGATTCCACTTGGCACTATATGAGATATTAATTACTTTTTGCAGTTCATTGTTGTTATTTTACTTTAGATGGTTTTTAGGGCTGCAAGTTCATATATCAATCAAATATGAATACAGAAAGCCTTAAGGGAGATAAATTCAGTTACTATTATTTCACTCACATATTTTTATTTCTTTCCTTGGCTAATTCTGTCTTTAATTTTGTGCACCTCATCTTAGTAACTACTTATTAGAGATCATAACATCGAGACAATGTCTAGAAATTGGTCATTTTTCTCATAGGTTTTGTTCACTCTCCCTTCACCACAACATATTAGGAGTAGTGATCAAAATGGCCTTTCTGGATGAAATAAAACAAAGAGTGCTAGAATTGGATCATGTCAGCTTTGGCACTTGTTACATTACTTTGTCTCGGCATCTAGCATTTAGTCACCTTTTGTATTCTGTGTTTTTAAAATATTAAAGACCAATAATTTTGAAACTATTACATATATATTTAAAATCATATAAAATAATTATGAACAACCACTGAGAGTTAATTACAAATTTAATAACTTGGAAAGTATGGTTTGTTGTAGAAGTAATTTTTTTCTTGTATCTCTTCAGTATAATAATACTGCAGATGGAGTTTACAAAGTTTTCAATGGAAAGGATGACATAAGCAAAGTTGCCATAATTGACACATACAAAGGCAAAAAGTAAGTATCCAGGCAAAGTGTGTGTCACTAGGATACTCTAAGGCAGGCAAGGAACTTATTTACCAGCTGGTAAGGCACAGGGACAACGTGTGGAACAGAGGTGCTTGTATCTCAGCCCTAGAAGCTCCCTAGGTCTACCAGGCATTAATCCTTTAGTTGTGATAACTGGTCACACTATTGTATTTTTGCTGAGTTTCAGCCCCACTGGAGGGTTCACCTTTATGAACAAGTTCTCTTACATAAAGAAATCTAAAGGGACTACTTCCATCTCTGCTGCATAACCATCATACATGCAACAATGACATAAATGCAAATGAAAATAATCAATATATCAACTCATCATCTAGCAAGTAGGAATATAGACATCTGTTTCTTTTTTAACTGAGCATGTCAAAAAACATCATTTATTCCAGGGAGATGATTAAATGTACCAATAAAGATGAAAATGTAATGAATTCATGCAAACATTTTCATGACTTGCCCCTTCAAAATTTTCCTGAAATAATTTTCTATATTGATAATTCAGCTTTTACACCATTATCAATCCAAAAAATGGGATTATTACTTCCTGTTCCAAAACTGACATATTAAACCTGAAAATAAAGTGTACACCTCCTATGAAGTAGTAGTAGAATGAGATATGTTCACATAGCCATGATTTCCTACTTCTTCCAAGTTCCTGCCTGTTTATGTGGAGTACACCTAATCTGTCATATGTCTAAAATACAAAGAAGCCCAATAAATATCAGGGGGAAAAAACTTTTCAAAGTTGAAATTAGAGTTTTAAGATCAGTAATTTCTGACAAAGAATAAAGTGATCAAAATCAAGAGAGATGAAATATTTTTATGATTAAGTAACCATTACTTCACATTGAGTTTGTACCTAAAAATTGCCTAAAACTGCTAAATACTCACTCACATAGACTTTTCATCTACAGAGTTCATAGTCATGTATCATTTTGAAAATTCTAATGGAGGAAAACAAACACTTCTAAATGCTCATTTTAGGGAAATCACATCTCTGTATATTGAGGAAAGTGAGAATTTATTCCATTTCAGTATTACCAGAGTTTTTGAGGAGAGTTACTAAATACTCCAAATTGGAGTAAGACTTTCATTTAAGATTATGATAAGGCTAACTTAACTGACTGAGCATGACTGACAGCTTATTCTGTTTAAAAAAGAAGCAATAGCTTGCCTTGACATCTTATTGGATGGTATGTTAGAGTGAAAAAACCATTTTTCCATCACCAAAAAGTGGTTGAGTATGCAGAGAAACTATCACTACTGTTGTTTTCATTATTTCCATGTATAAATATATACACACATATATATTTTATGTAGATACCAGAATATAAATTAATAAACTTCATCCTACTTTAATGCCAGCTCATGCAAGAGTTGAGAGAAAAATATAAATTGATTTTCTACATTTCTAAATCTCTATTAATCAAACATCTCTTTCCTCCTCCACATTCTACTCTTTTCTCTCATAATGAGATATCGGTTAACCATTTAGTATCTTCCTCCTACTCAGCAGGACACGTCAACATAATACGAAATAATCCACTTCTCCCATTGGAACAACAAAAGAAAAAACTTTCTTGAAGTAGACATCTAAATGTCTGATATGTGTTTTTCAATTTTCTTTTTACAGAACTTAATCTTTTCCAAGTTGTTCCTAACTACCAAATTTTGACAGCTTTTATCTTATAATCTAACTCCTTAGTGGTGTCAGGCACTTCCTTTATCCCAGCAAGATGCCGGCTTCAAGCAATACATAGACCAAATGACTTAGAACATTTCTTAAACTTAGCACCTGTCATATCTAGTCTAATCAACTGTTATTATTTTTGCAGAAATACTGACTCATAATAGACAATGTAATGTGAGAAGGTGCTTCTGAAATGAAACTGATAATTTTTTTCTTTTTTTAACTCCTAAGGAATCTCCTTTATTGGTCAAGTTATTGTGACATGATTAATGGTACAGGTAAGTGTACCAAGTGATGGGTGAAGAATCCCTTTGTGGTAATATCACAATGAAACCACCTTCTTTCTCCCACAAATCCTCCATCATATCTACAATGTTCTGGGGGTTGAGGATATCCATTTACTTATCTTGTATCCCACAACATAATTCAGTCTCTATACTTATATATAGGCTTATTAAATGTATGTCTAATGTGATGGGATTTCTGAAGATTAACCATTGAAGATGAGCCTTTACTGCCTTCCTTGGGAAATGTTTACTTCGTAAAAGTGTTACTTAAGTGAACTTCCTTCCTGGCCACAGAAGTAAGGGGGTGGAAAATTTTACAGTAGTAGTTACTGTTTGCACGTTTTGGAAATACTACATAAGCTCTGACCAACCTAGACAGCATATTAAAAAGCAGAGACATTACTTTGCCGACAAAGGTCCGTCTAGCCAAAGCTATGGTTTTTCTATTAGTCATGCATGGATGTGAGAGTTGGACCATAAAGAAAGTTGAGTGCCAAACAATTGATACTTTTGAACTGTGGTGTCAGAGTAGACTCTTTTTGAGAGTCCCATGGATTGCAAGGAGATCAAACCAGTCCATCCTAAAGGAAATCAGTCCTGAATATTCATTGGAAGGACTGATGAATATGAAATTCTAATACTTAAAAATAAAACATGTGTCCAAGTGGAGGTTTCAATAATGAGGCAGAATCAGAGAAGTTCAAGGCTGAATATAGATTTTGAATGAGATGGTCAAAATGAAAAAGAAAACAACGACAATAAAACACAGCTGCATCTGTACTAACCATGAAAAATGTATGCAAAAATAACACTGTGAAATAGAACTAGGAAGAAAGAAGGTACTAGGACTTTAGATTCAGAGTGTGATAGATCCAGTTTATTATTCTCCTTAAAGAAAAGCAAAGTACACATATGCCTATTAGTTTAAGTATTAAAATTTTTAAAAGTAATGGGAATAAAATACCATTAGGTATTTAAAATCAAAGATGAGCTTTCAGCTACTAAGAAGCAGAAGCAGAATATTGTGTGTGTAAAGTTGGTAAGGTAATACTTTAGAAGAATGTAACACATGAAGAAAAAAAATGTTAAAGTACATAAAAAGATAGAAAATAAGAAGGAAACATAGAGAACATTCATTTTCACAAAGGTATTGCTGAGTTTCACAGGTTATTTAATTTTGTTTATACTCTGGTAAAAAAAAAAAAAAAAAGATCAACAACCAGTAAAACCACTGCTGAATTTGCTTTACAGCACTTTGAGTCATGGTGATGAGTGAAGAAATCCCTTCCAAGTAGTTCATTTCTGCAAATAGTCAACTGTCCCAATACCACTAACTTTAATTTCATAAGCATACACTTCAGTCCTTAAGAAAGAAATATACTGCGCTTCTCCTAAATAGTAAGCTATTGTTTATGGGCTTAAAGTATATTTAAATCTTAGTCTAAACCAAAAAATAGACCAGTTTTAAAACAGTAATAAGAGGATTCATTAATGGCTGTAACATATACATAGCATCAGGCATGAAATTAAAAGTATCTAAGATGAAAATAACAGTAAAACAAACTAGGAGCAAAGGTTGGTTGGACAGATCAGGGACTCTGATGGTGATTCTTGGTCACAGTAGTAGAAAAAGAGACTAATGAAATGTCAATGGATCCAAGGTGATATCTAAATCATGATTTAGAAGTACTTCCTCTACCTTCTTCACTAAGTTTAAAGACATAAAATGAAAGTATTTATTTATATTTGAATGCATTTAAAAAAAAGAGAGCCCTGCTAGTATCAGCTATGTTATGGTCATGGCCCTTGGTAGTTACTGGTGTCATTATAACATAATCTTTGATGATATTTCAGATGATTTTTAAATATTTTCAATGTACTTTTTTCCTTTAATGGCTAAGGTGTTGGGGCAGCAGTTGCAGGCAAGACCCATTCAGGGAACTACTTGAGGAATTTAATCTTCAGTATCCCATTCTCTCAATGTCTTATCAGGTTCACTGAGATGCTCTGTTATATTTCACCTATCATAAGAATATAAGTGAAATAAAATCACAAGGTCAGCGAAGTTACCAGAAAAACAGTGTGGTAGTCATAACTGAAGGATAGATCTTACTGTTTTGAATAAATACATTCAGTGGTGGCTCATGTTTGGTGATATTCATTTGTGGAGCAAATGGAGGAATTGTCTAGCTATTTTTTCTTATATCCAGTGTGTACTATGGAGCACAACTGTAGTAAAGATTTACTAAGCTCAAAAGATGCTCTTCTTAGTTTGATGTGTACATTTTCCAACCATTTGTGTGAAATTGTTTAGTGATTTAAAAAATATTGATCAGCCATAAGGGTAGGTGAATGGATCACTATTAAAAGTATGGACATTTACAAAAATGAGTTTTAAAGGAATCTCAAGATTAAAAAATTGCTACTCTACTGATAGATGGAAGATTTAAAAACATAAAATCACAGTTTTAACAATGTGATTTTGCCATTTTTAAAAACTTTCATCTATTTTTAAAGAATGGGAAAATTTAATATGAAACAGAATACCAATGATTATGTATAGTATACAGTCTTATTGAATATGGTAGCTGCTAGCCACATGTCACAATTCAGCAGCACTTGAAACGCAGCCTAGTACAAACTGAAATACTGTAAGTATAAAGTAAACATTGAATTTTCAGATTTTTGTTAATTTTTATATCGTATGTTAAAATGATGGTATTTTTGATATATGGGGTTAAACAACACATACTTGATACATGTTTTTTCATCTTTACAATGTAGTTACTGGAGAATTTTAATTTTATACATACAGTTTGCATTACATTTCTCTTAACCGTGCAGGAATCAAGATTTCTAGATTTGTTTAAGTCGCACTGTTTCCATCTAATCCCTTGTCACTGGTTTGGTTTTTAAACAGATGCAGCCTCATTTCCACCTTTTGTTGAGAAGACAAGGATATTGCGATTTTTCTCCTCTGATATTTGCAGGTAAGAGAAAGACAATGATGTATCTCTCCAAGTCATAATTCTTTCTCTAAGTGATAAAACACAGACCAAGAAGCTTATGCTTAATAATCATGTTATTTGAGAAAAATAAAATACTTTTAGGGAAGTATTTCCTGATCTATTAAGAATAAATACAATGTGAAATTCATGATTTATGCCCTGAAGAAGGTAATGGCAAACCACTCCAGTATTCTTGCCTAGAGAATCCCATGGACAGAGGACGCTGGTGGGTTACAGTCCATGGGGTTGCAAAGAGTTGGACACAACTGAGTGACCAACACACACACACACAAAATATATTTGTGAGTCTTTAAAATTTGATGTAGAAGGATGTTGTGTATAATGCAAGTCAGTTTCTTTTTTGTTATTTTTAAGTAAGAACTACTTTTTTCATTCTTTTACTAAATTAGCAGTAAGAGTGATAAAGTCAAGTCTAGAAAGGCATGCCCAGTCTTTGTAAAGAAGAGGATACCACAATCACAAAACTATCTTCATGTGTACCACTTACAATACAGCATCTTTTCAAATTGACGGGGGCCCAGTAGCTATCACACAGGCATTAGTGCCTACACCTGTATCCTTGAATGCGCACCTGGATTCTTAACACTGTTTGGTAGAGCAAGCATATTATCTCTGAATCTTTTTCCTTATCTGTAAAATTGAAGAGAACAGCATTTCTTCAAATAGTCATCTGGGGATTAGAAAATATTTAATCTATAAAGGAAACTAACTGTGAGGAATGCCTTAACTGTAAATACTCCATGGTAATTCACAAGCAAAAATTATTCTCAGAAGTGTTTGAAAACAAATCGCTCATACGCAAGTATTAAGTTCTAGTGTGTCTTAAAATTTTGCAAGCTTTTTTTCCCCTAAAATTTAGGGATTCTAATAAGATTATATCTAATTTTTCTAATTTAAGGCAGCAATAATATAAATTTAAATAGAAGAAAAAACAAATCTCCACAACAAAGTTCAGGGTCCCAGAATGAAGCTCCTTCTTATCTGTATTCAGGTCTGTCTATGCTGAGTTTGCAGCTGAAATGAATCTGAAAGGAATCCCTGTGTATAGATTTACTCTTCCATCCTTGGCTTTTGCATCTCCAAGTGAAAATCCAGACAACCACTGTTTCTGCACAGAACAAATTATCTCAAAAAATTGTACCTTATATGGTGTGCTAGACATTGGCAAATGCAAAGAAGGTGAGTACAAGTTCTTCATGTCACAATCCCTGGTATAATTTGTGTTATTCTTTAAAATGTAAACTTCACCCAGGATTCCTTTCCACCAGAAATATACAGTGAGAAAGCAGTAAGGGCAGAAAGTAAGAGTGATGGTGGATATTTTTGTTTTGATGTTTGTCTTGCTTTCAGGGTCGCAGTTGTTTTCGTGTTGCAGAACTTAGTTTTTATTAGGTATAATCATGCTTATTGATACTTCCTGTGCTACTTGGAAAATGTCTCTTTAGGTCTTTTGCCATTTTTAAATTGGTTTATTTATTTCTTTGAGTTGTGTGAATTCTTGTATATTTTGGATGTTAATCACATGGGATATGTGTTTTGGAAGTATTTGCTCCCACCTACAGCTAACCTTTTCATTTCTGACTGTTTCTTTTGCTGTGCAGAATGGCTGTGATCCTTTTATATTTAGGATAAAATGAAAATAGTTTGCAGAATACCTTGAGCATCCCAACTTGTCCATCTGACATTTTTCTTCTTCTACCCTAGAATCTGTTTTTTTTAAAAAAAGTATATTTTAGGATGTCTCTGAAACAAAAATTGATTCAAACATGGCATCTGGAGTCTATCTTATTGTGCTTACCTTCTTCATGTTAGAGTGGGTGAGACTAAAGAAAGAAAAGCCTCTTTAAATAAATTCTCAGTCCAAAGACATTTTACAACCTGAAACATGAAGGTATATGGTTGTAACTTTGTGTTCAGTAGCTAAGCTTTACATATTGAAAATAAACACCTAAGGGATGAACAACACACATTAACTAAATAGTCAGTAGGATGATGTATAAGTTTACATTTTATTTTTGTTCAAAAGTGATCAGATACAATAATTTTCCCTCACTCTCATCCCCTGATTAGATTTAAAAGCCAAATTTGCATTTCATTTTTTAAATTAAAAGCTTTATTTTCAAGGAAATCTTTTCTAAGTGGTATATGAAATGAGGAAAATGATTTATCCCAATTGTCTCTAAAACTTTTTTTCAGGAAAACCTGTGTACATTTCACTTCCTCATTTTCTACATGGAAGTCCTGAACTTGCAGAACCTATTGAAGGCTTAAGTCCAAATGAAGAAGAACACAGGACATATTTAGATGTTGAACCTGTAAGCAAATAGTTTATTGATCAGATTTGTTTTTTAAAAATGAAGAAAAAATTAAATTATCAATCACGTTTATTGTATTACATTCTTAATTAATTACTTTTACTTCAAGGAAAATTACAGTGATTTCTTCCTGTTGTTGCTTATGAAATGTCAAGATAATTTTAGTTTTTCAGCAAAGGTCAGGAATAATGAAAATCATTCTATTTGGATTAAAATGATTTTATATGTTACTCTTTCAAGTGTACTTTATATTTAATTGCAAATATTGCTTATATGAAGGTACCCTGTAGATTATGAGGGATTAAAAATGTTTTATGGGTATACATGCACTTGAGGCAAGATCAAATATATTTCTTAGTGTCAAGAAAAATCTATTAAGTTCCCTATAGTTTAACAGTTTCTATTTTTCATTTATATTAATATTCCCCTTTTCAACAGATAGATGAAATGTCAGGACTTTAGTAGTCATATTTTAGTTTAAATAATGACAGAAGTAACATTATACTGATGATACATGGATTCTGACTGAGTGCATATTTAAATTCCAGGATATATTTTGTCAAATGAATTTTAGATTTCACTACTGTTGTTGTCATTACTAATTCCCCAAAACCAATTCAAGTAAATATCACAAATCTAACTAAACCTTGACATTAGGTTGGGCAAGGATATATCTGTATACACACATGCATATGCTCATAAAATGTAATTATGGAGAGTTACATATGTAATATTCAATATGTCTGATTAAGTCCAATTAATGACAAATTTCACAGGTTTCAAGTAGTACACTTTCACCTTAAGCTCATATATAACAAAAATAAGGTCTGGATATTATAAAAGAATGTTTTTAAAATAAGTTGGTAATTAGTTTGTTCTCATTTTAGATAACTGGATTTACTTTACGGTTTGCAAAACGGCTGCAGATCAACATACTGGTCAAGCCAGCAAAAAAAATTGAGTGAGTTTCTTAAACAAGTTTCATTTCGATTTTTCAAATTTTCTTGTAAGATGCAGATATATCTATCAAAGGAGATGGAAATAAAATTTCAATTTCTGTTCGGCTTAATGTCATTAAATAATTATTACATGCTTATAACTGTCATTTGTAATTTAGAATTACATCTAATGTGTAGTGAAATGGTACTTACCCATATTTTGGAATGAGTATTTCTGGTATTTCTCTCTTTGCTAACTGTCCAAATATTTTTATGACAATAGTTTCAGCATTCATATTTTAGTTTCCTGGGTATAATTTGTTGAAAGGGAAAATACATAATTAGAAAAGGTCATTCTAATGAAAAAACCTGTATCAGATGGCTTTCCTGCGGTTTAGTGCTTAACAGTCCACCTTTCACTGCAAGGGACACTGGTTTGATACCTGGTACGGGGAGATCCCACACGCCTCTGGGAAGCTAGCCCCGTGCCCACAACGAGCCTGCGCTCTGGCGCTCTCGAGTCACAACTACTGAGCCCATATGCAGCAACTACCGAAGCCCGCGCTCCTGGAGCTCATGCTCCACAATAGGAGAAGCCACTCCAATAAGAAGCCCATATGCAGCAACTGCAGAGTGGCCCCTGCTTGCCGCAGCTAGAGAAGGCCCATGTATGGCAACGAAGACCCAGTGCAGCCAAAAATAAATAAATATTTTTTAAAATCTGTATTAAAAAGATTTGTATGTAGGAAAGATGTCTGAGAAACAGAAATATTAAAATTTAAATGCTTCATTACAGGAAAAACAAAGTAAGTAACTTAACCACGTTATAAAAGCAACTAATTTCTGAACATTTCTTTTCACTAGTAGTTACTAATATCTGTCATATGTGTATAGCATATTAAGTGTATGTATTTTCACACTTATTTTCAATGTTTATTACAGAGCATTAAAGAATCTGAAGCACAACTATATTGTGCCTATTCTTTGGCTTAATGAGGTGAGTATTTTTATCTATTAGTCACTAAAAACAGTAAGCTTCTTAATATACAGAAAAAGTTTTTGATGTTTGAAAATTAAATATATATATGTATATATATATATGCCTACACACACAGTGTTTGAACTTGTCTTTCCATTGTATCTATAGGTGAGTTTATATATTATTAATTATATAATTAATTATTTTTTAAAGTAAGTCATACAGAAGTATCAGGATTATGTTAGACTTAAGTATAACTTTAATAAAAATAAAAATATTTCATAGTGCATTTATTAGATAATTTTTCTTGTCATAGTGCATGTGTTAGGAAAATATTAAACTCCAAATAATTCAATATGAGCCTTGTAGTGCTAATAAAACCACCCAAGCTTATAATGGGCAAATTAGAGTAGATGTAGGCAGTCTATCTAGTGCCTGAAAATCATGGAACGGACAAACCACAGAATTAGGAAATGCATTGCTTAAGCCTTTAGAGGATAGAAACAATTGAGCTTTGCCATTTCCCTCTGTCACTAAGAAGCAACCTTGGGGAAACTGGAGAATATTTTCAGTAAGACTAGTGATCAATGAAATCAGTATATTCAATAACACTAGATAACATGTTTAAAGGGAGGAATATTACATCTCTCTCTCTAAATATTCTACCTGGGCATTTACTGTCTTTTTTGACATGCAAAGAGAATTCCAACAGGCTTGTTTTGCAGATAAAGATTACTAACATCCGTGTGCTGTTTCGATACGAAAGTGATACACATAAGTGGAGAGTTTTGAGTATTCTGCTCTCAAATCTACTCAAATAACACTATTTATTAACTTGATTACAGACTGGTACCATTGGTGATGAGAAGGCAGAAATGTTCAGAAATCAAGTGACTGGGAAAATAAACCTCCTTGGCCTGGTAGAAATCGTCTTGCTCAGTGTTGGTGTGGTGATGTTTATTGCTTTTATGATTTCATACTGTGCATGCAGATCAAAGAAAGTAAATTAAGTAAGTATATAACAGAAACCATATATGACTTCAGTAACATTAAATATTACTTGTTTCCATTTTGTCAAAACAGTTATAAACTAGGCTGCAAATATTATGAACATGTCTAGTCAACTATCATTTTTAACATATCCTTGAAACTTTGAGACACTTAACGTAAGTTAAAATGAAGACTTAATGAGTATTTAGGCTTATCAATATTAAACAGATCACTATATTTCATCTTTATTCTGGGAGGAAATGGGCTAAACTGTGAAGGTGTCACCTTTGAAAAATTAGAATGTTGCACAAAAGCTATATATGTACTCAATTTTTATTTCTTAATTATTTTTAGATAGTTATTTTAAAAATCACAAGTAATTTAATATATCTGACTAGGAAACGTGTGAAACTGAAAATGGCAGATATTTGGGGAGACTGAAATTTATAAGGGAAAAGAAAATAAAAGTAAAATTAGATAAGCTAAGTAATGAGAATTAAGGTCAATAAATGGTAAAGATAAAATCAGATAAAAATATACTATTTTTAAATGCAAATAGCATATTAATATAAAAATAGAACTGCTGCATATAGACACGCTGTCCAAAATCATGACATGCAGCCTACATGTTCCATGTGGAAACCCTGATGAATGATTATAATTCAGGAGCTAGAATTAAATGAGCACAAGAAAATAGACTAAAGATAATGTTGAACTCACTAAAACCAAATAATTAGAGTTTAAAGGAAAAATCAGATAAATATGGATGGGTGAGTTTTAGCAAAACTGAAGAGGTGGTTCAGGCCTCTGTGTTTTAAATATTAGTACCCATGTCTCCTTGAACATAGAGGAGTGTATGCCAGACCCTATTTTCTCTAAATGGAAGCCTTTCTTTAATAATCACAGGTGGCACTGGTATGGCCTGATGGGAGTGGATTCTCCACTAACCCATAGTTTCTATCCACCATTCCTTCCCTGGGATATCAAAGAAAAAAAATGAAGTGAAGTGAAAGTCACTTGGTAGTATCCTTCCATTTTCTACCTCATGAACTGTAGCTCTCCAGGCTCCTCTGTCCATGGAATTCTCCAGGCAAGAATACTGGAATGGGTTGCCATTCCCTTCTCCAAAGGACCTTCCTGACCCAGGGATTGAACCCGGGTCTCCTGCATTGCAGGCAGATTCTTTACCGACTAAGCCACCTGGGAAGCCCAGAAAAAGAACAAGAAAAAAAAAAAAAGGAATCTAAATTAAAGCAAGGACTGATGCTGAAGCTCCAATACTTGGGCCACCTGATGCGAAGAGCCAACTCACTGGAAAAGATTGAGGGAATAAAGAAAAGAGTGTGACAGAGGATGAGATGGCTAGATGGCATCACTGATTCAATGGACATGAGTTTGAGCAAACTCAGGGAGATAGTAAAGCACAGGGTAGCCTGGCACGCTCCAGTTTATGGGGTCGCAAAGAGTTGGACATAATTTATCAAGTGAACAACAGCAGCAGTAAATTGCTCTGAAGAAAACCAATCACAATTTTAAAACAAGTCTTCTTATTCCACTTTCAATCAGATTTCTGACAGTAAGCTACCCTGCATAGAAATTCTGGAGCTGCAACTGACAATTACTGAACTTAATGTTCATGTGCTCAAATCATGCTATTTTACATGAATTTCACAGCTCAGTTCAGTTGCTCAGTAGTGTCCAACTCTTTGCGACCCCATGAATTGCAGCATGCCAGGCCTCCTTGTCCATCACCAACTCCCGGAGTTCACTCAAACTCATGCCCATCGAGTCGGTGATGCCATCCAGCATCTCATCCTCTGTCATCCCCTCCTCCACCTGCCCCCAATCCCTCCCAGCATCAGGGTATTTTCCAATGAGTCAACTCTTTGCATGAGGTAGCCAAAGTACTGGAGTTTCAGCTTCAGCATCAGTCCTTCCAATAAATACCCAGGACTGATCTCATTTAGGATGGACTGGTTGGATATCCTTGCAGTCCAAGGGACTCTCAAGAGTCTTCTCCATCACCACTGTTCAAAAGCATCAATTTTTCAGCGCTCAGCTTTCTTCACAGTCCAACTCTCACATCCATACATGACCACTGGAAAAACCATAGCCTTGACTAGACGGACTTTTGTTGGCAAAGTAATGTCTCTGCTTTTTAATATGCTGTCTAGGTTGGTCATAACTTTCCTTCCAGGAGTAAGCGTCTTTTAATTTCACGGCTGCAATCACCATCTGCAGTGATTTTAGAGCCCAAAAAAATAAAGTCTGACACTGTTTCCACTGTCTCCCCATCTATTTCTCATGAGGTGATGGGACCAGATGCCATGATCTTAGTTTTCTGAATGTTAAGCTTTAAACCAACTTTTTCACTCTCCTCTTTCACTTTCATCAAGAGGCTTTTTAGTTCCTCTTCACTTTCTGCCATAAGGGTGGTATCATGTGCCTATCTGAGGTTATTGATATTTCTCCCAGCAATCTTGATTCCAGCTTGTGCTTCTTCCAGCCCAGTGTTTCTCATGATGCATTCTGCATGTAAGTTAAATAAGCAGGGTGACAACATACAGCCTTTATGTACTCCTTTTCCTATTTGGAACCAATCTGTTGTTCCATGTCCAGTTCTAACTGTTGCTTCCTGACCTGCATACAGGTTTCTCAAGAGGCAAGGCAGGTGGTCTGGTATTCCCATCTCTTTCAGAATTTTCCACAGTTTATTGTGATCCACACAGTCAAAGGCTTTGGCATAGTCAATAAAGCAGAAATAGATGTTTTTCTGGAACTCTCTTGCTTTTTTGATGATCCAGCAGATACTGGCAGTTTGGTCTCTGGTTCCTCTGCCTTTTCTAAAACCAGCTTGAACATCTGTAAGTTCTCGGTTCACACATTGCTGAAGCCTGGCTTGGAGAATTTTAAGCATTACTTTACTAGCGTGAGAGACGAGTGCAATTGTGCGGTAGTTTGAGCATTCTTTGGCATTGCCTTTCTTTGGGACTGGAATGAAAACTGACATTTTCCAGTCCTGTGGCCACTGCTGAGTTTTCCAAATTTCCTGGCATATTGAGTGCAGCACTTTCACAGCATCATCTTTCAGGATTTGAAATAGCTCAACTGGAATTCCATTACATCCACTAGCTTTGTTCGTAGTGATGCTTTCTTAAGGCCCTCTTGACTTCACATTCCAGGATGTCTGGCTCTAGATGAGTGATCACACCATCGTGATTATCTGGGTCGTGAAGATCTTTTTTGTATAGGTCTTTTGTGTATTCTTTCCACCTCTTCTTAATATCTTCTCCTTCTGTTAGGTCCATACCATTTCTGTCCTTTATTGAACCCATCTTTGCCTGAAATGTTCCCTTGATACCTCTGATTTTCTTGAAGAGATCTCTACTCTTTCCCCTTCTGTTGTTTTCCTCTATTTCTTTGCATTGATCACTGAGGGAAGGCTTTCTTATCTCTCCTGGCTAGTCTTTGGAACTCTGCATTCAAATGGGAATATCTTTCCTTTTCTCCTTTGCTTTTCGCTTCTCTTCTTCTCACAGCTATTTGTAAGGCCTCCTCAGACAACCATTTTGCTTTTTTGCATTTCTTTTACATGGGGATAGTCTTGATCCCTGTCTCCTGTACAATGTCACAAACCTCTGTCTATAGTTCATCAGGCTCTCTATCAGATATAGTCCCTTAAATCTATTTCTCACTTCCACTGTATAGTCATAAGGGATTTGATTTAGGTCATACCTGAATGGCCTAGTGGTTTTCCCTACCTTCTTCAATTTCAGTCTGAATTTGGCAATAAGGAGTTCATGATCTGAGCCACAGTCAGCTCTTGGTCTTGTTTTTGCTGACTGTATAGAGCTTCTCCATCTTTGGCTGCAAAGAATATAATCAATCTGATTTCGGTGTTGACCATCTGGTGATGTCCATATGTAGAGTCTTCTCTTGTGTTGTTGGAAGAGGGTGTTTGCTATGACCAGTGCATTCTCTTAGCAAAACTCTATTAGCCTTTGCCCTGCTTCATTCCATACTCCAAAGCCAAATTTGCCTGTTATTCCAGGTGTTTCTTGACTTCCTGTTTTTGCATTCCAGTCCCCTATAATGAAAAGGACATCTGTTTTGAGTGTTAGTTCTAAAATGTCTTGTAGGTCTTCATAAAACCATTCAACTTCAGCTTTTTCAGCATTACTGGTTGGGGCATAGGCTTGGATTACCGTGATATTGTATGGTTTGCCTTGGAAACGAGCATAGATCATTCTGTCATTTTTGAGATTGCATCCAAGTACTGCATTTTGGACTCTTTTGTTGACTATGCTGGCTACTCCATTTCTTCTAAGGGATTCCTGCCCACAGTAGTAGATATAATGGTCATCTAAGTTAAATTCACCCATTCCAGTCCATTTTAGTTCGCTGATTCTTAGAATGTTGACGTTCACTCTTGCCATCTCCTGTTTGACCACTGCCTTGATTCATGGACCTAACATTCCAGGTTCCTATGCAATATTGCTCTTTGCAGCACTGGACCTTGTTTCTATCACCAGTCACATCCAAAACTGGGTATTGTTTTTGCTTTGGCTCCATCCCTTCATTCTTTCTGGAGTTATTTCTCCATTGATATCCATTAGCATATTGGGCACCTACCGACCTGGGGAGTTCCTCTTTCAGTATCCTATCATTTTGCCTTCTGATATGGTTCATGGGGTTCTCAAAACAAGAATACTGAAGTGGTTTGCCACTCCCTTCTCCAGTGGACCACATTCTGTCAGACCTCTCCACCAGGACCTGTCCGTCTTGGGTGGCCCCACGTGGCATGGCTTAGTTTCACTGAGTTAGACACGACTGTGGTCCTGTGATCAGATTGGCTAGTTTTCTGTGATTATGGTTTTAATGTGTCTGCCCTCTGATGCCCTTTGGCAACACCTACCCTCTTATTTGGGTTTCTCTTACCTTGGACGTGGGGTATCTCTTCACGGCTGCTCCAGCAAAGCACAGCCGCTGCTCCTTACCTTGGAGGAGGGGTATCTTCTCA